TGAACAAGGAGTTGTGAAGCATGTTCCAAAAGAAAGGGCCTGATCTTCTTGATGTTGAATAAAGCAAATCTGCAGGACCGGACAGTTTTAGCAATGTTGTCTGAGAAAATCAGCTGATCATCAATCATAACTCCAGGGTTTCTGGCTGTTTTTTAAGGAGTTATGGTTGATGTGCCTAGCTGGATGGTGAAATTGTGATGAAACGATGGGTTTGCTGGAACCACAAGCAGTTCTGTCTTGGCAAGGTTGAGTTGAAGGTGATGGTCTTTCATCCAGCAAGAAATGTCTGTTAGACAAGCTGAGATGTGAGCAGCTATCATCGGATCATCAGGATGGAATGAGAGGTAGAGTTGAGTGTCATCAGCATAGCAGTGGTATGAAAAGCCATGTTTCATACATAGCATAAGGATTTTATGTCTATATTTGCTTAAATTACATAACAACACTTGAGCAACCACCCCAAGTAACCACCTCAGGTACAACACCCTAGCAACCACACCAGGTGCCGTAGCAACCACACCCGGTGCCCTAGCAACCACCACAAGTGCCCTAGCAACCACCACAAGTACCCTAGCAACCGCATAGCAACATCTTGGCAACCACCCAGGGTACCCTAGCAACCGCATAACAACACCTTGGCAACCACCCAGAGTACCCTAGCAATATTTCTAAGCCATATAATCCGTGTGTCATTCGATCATTCGTTTTTTGATTTAATATTGAAAGTAGAAAAATGAGAAAACGGTTCGTTTTTTCGTTTTTTTTTGTTTTTTTCAAAAAAAACGAAAAACGAGAATTCAGCTTAAATTTTAGTTTTTAGTTCATGGGTGGAAAAATGAATAAACAGCTTGAATATTCTATTTCTACACGTGGGCGGGAATTAAACGCCCCTTTCTGCTGATTGGAAAAGGCTTCATTTAGATGATTTGATGTTAAATGCGTGGGCGGGAATTAAACGCCCCAATACTTGTCTTTTAAAAGGCTTCATTTAGATGATTTGATGTTAAATGCATCATATAAGTCACTTTGGAATAAATCACAGTAGGCCTATGTATCATGATAAAAAAAGCGACTTTACAGTCTGGAAATACTTTAGGCTATAGCAAATTATTTCTTGGACCCCCTATCACTTTAAGAACCGCTGGTCTACACAGAAGATAGACCCGTCTAGACTCTGCCCCGGTACGAGTTGTGTCGGGCTATTCATTAGTCTGTTTGATGAGAAAAATATAAAATTGAAGAGGAGCTGTAACAAAGCCACATATTTATAGCCTATACAAAAATATAGGCTATTCGAACCATATTTACTCTTAGTATTAGTATAGGACTACTTGTTTTTTATTACAGCCCGTG